CTCCTTCCCCTCTCCTCTCTCTCCTTGCCCTCCCCTCTCTCTCCCCCCTCCTTCCCCTCGCCCTTTTCCTTCCTTTCTCCCTCTTCTCTTTTCTTTCCTATCTTCTTTCTTCCTTCTTTGAACCAGGAATCACATCTCTTCTTTGCAGTCCAATCCGACGAAGCCTTTCTCCCCCCCATCCAAGAGTGCTCACTGTGATCCAAGCCAGGCCAATTAAGTGTTCTCATTCTGGATTTTAAATCAAAACAGATTCATAAAAAGACTAAAGATAAGTTGGTATTTGGGGGATCCCCCACCCGTCAGGCTGTTTTTAGCGGGAACATTTCCTGTCCCCTCAGCTTCCTGAGTTTTAGAGCCATCTTGTTCCTGTGTGCTTCCAAGTACTGTTCTCTGGCCTGACTCCACTCCAGATGCCCTTCCAACAGATGCCTCTTGCTTAGATTAATCACTGGTTTCTGCTGTTGGTATCCAAAACACCCTAAGTAATACCAAAGATGAAGAAATACACAGAATCCCAGCTTTCAGAGCTCATCAGTTTTCTTGGGAAGACAGATATTAAACAGGCAAAAAATCAAGTGTAAAGTTACAAATTGTTGTAAAATAAATGAACAGCATGCTCTGAGAGAGAGTAGTAGGGGATCTCATTGAGATTATGGGATCATGGTAAGTCTTCACTGAGAGCTGATGAATGAGCAGGCATAAGCCAGAGAAAGAGCTGAGCATAAGAACCGTTCTGTAGAAGGCAGAGGACAAGCAAAGGCCCTGTGGCCGGAGGGTGTCTAGGGGGAAGAGCTGAACTGAGGCTGGAGGTGCAGGGTCGTCCACAGTCTTCATAGTCTGCAGAGAGAATTTAAATTTGATTTTAAGACAACAGAAAGAAACTATGAGAAAACATTGTCTGTGAGTGACACATGTGTGTGCGTGTGCATATGTATGTTTATGTGTATGGAGGGCGGAGGACAACCTTGGGTGTTATTCCTCAGGTGCCACTCTTTAACAAGGTCTGCCACTGGCCTGGAACTTGCCAACTAGACTAAACTGGCCAGTGTCTGCCTCCCAGCATGGGGATTTAGAAGTTACTGAAGCTCCCAGCATTCTATTTATATGAGTTCTGTGGATCAAAATCAGGTCTTTGTGCTTGCAAGGCTGAGGATCTCTCCAGCTCCCTTATGAGAGTTTGAAAAATACTCTCTTTTCCTGCTGCATAAAGAGCTGATTTGCAAGAGATAGGAAGTCACTGAGTGGCCTGTCGGGGATGTGGGGAGGGTGGGGGGAGGTTAGGCACAACCCAAGACGGTACAGAGGGGCAGATAGCCTTATTTGGGATGGAGGGGGCTGGTAGGCAGACCTGGTGCTCCAAAGTGTACCTGCCTTGTGTACACAGTGGCCTGCTCATTTCTATATGACAGGAAGTAGCTGATTAACTTGTGCATCTGTAGAACTTTCTCCCTTACAAATGTATCTGTATTCAAATCTCACTGGATCCTCACAGCAACACTGAAGGGTCATGAAAGCAAAGTGGCCAAGGGTGGAGTCCAGGGATAGACACGGAACGTAGCTGGTGACAACCCAGCCAGGCCTCCCACATGGCTTCTCTCCAGCACTGCTGCCCAGCTCACTGTCGGCCTTAGAACCTGCAGCACCTCCAGCACTGTCTGCTGACTTGAAGATGAGCCTTAGGCCATCCACTGCCCTTTGCCGGACACTTCCTGTCCTGCTGAACGTAGGCTCCAAAATATAGTCTTTGAAAGTCATTTGTGTCCATTTCTGTCACTCGCCCTGTGGCTGATGTGACCACTGCCAGGCTTTGCCTAGGGCAAGCTGAGCACTTTGGGCCAATTCATGCATTCCTGTTACTTTTCATCTCAGCTCCATGTGGGTCTCCTTCAACATCCTTTAGATCATTTCAGTTGCTTTTCCTGAAATCTGGCCTCCCTCTCCTTGATCAGCAACTGAACCTGCATCGGCATCATGCAGCGACTTATTAGAAACGTAAAGTTTTGGGCTCCACCCCAGACCTCCTGAGTTGACACTATGTGGGTGACCCTGCCACCTGTGCTTTGAGAAGCCTACCAGGTGATTTTGAGGCATGCCGGAGCTTAGGAACCACTGGACAGATCTTTCCAGGAAGACCTCTTTATGCTGGAGCCAGCTGAGCTCAGCTAAAGCTGTGTTTTATATAAATCCATGTCAGGGGCTGATGTCACTGAAGGAGCTTACCCATGCCCTGGAGCCCACATCACCAAAAGGTGGTGACAGCTCAAAGCTGAAAAGCCTACCAAAACTGTTCAGGCTCTCTAGAGGACCCTTCTCTGCTGATTTTCAGCCCACTGCAGCCAGGGACCAAACCAGAACTTCCAGGGGACACTGGGAAGAGCCAGAAAGGGAAGTCATTCCCTTACAATATTATGTGTAAGATTAAAAATTTAATTGTTTAAAGCACCCAGCCTGTCCTATTTCGTTATTATAGTGGCTGCAGCAAACAGATGCACAGGTCCATGAAGGCCCACAAGGTCTTCCATAATGAAGCAGCATTCTTTGAAGAAACTGATCACTGCAATTGACATGAGTGACACAACATGATTGGCTTGTGACTCTATCCCTGACTTGCAAGCTGGAGACAATAAACAGCATGCAGAGGCCCTGACTGAGGGCTGAGAAGCCAGCAGGAAGCCAGAAGAACAGATGCCTTAAGCACCAAAATCAGGGGCAGGTCTGACACCAGCAACTTCTAATGAAGTCCTCAGCGCACAAGAAATGGGCCCAGAGGGAAGCTGGTCAGTTGTATTTCTGTTCTACTCCCAAAGGACTAGGGTATGCCCTAAAGCTGCAGCCCAGCCAGGGCTCACCTCTGTTAAGGTTCAGATACCCCCTCTCCCGGTCTTCAACAGGGCCTCAGGCACTTCACAAGCTCCTGAGAAAAGGGAACCAAGCTGATAAGCACCCTGGTCTCAAGTCAAGAGAAGCAGACTTTTCTCCACCTTTTGGCCAACACAGGAGGCTTCCCCTTTGATCACTAAAGAGGACAGGTTTTAACAGTTATGTCCTATCGTGTCCTGTCGTGTCCTGCCCCCCCAACTTTAAAAAAAATACATCTTTGGCCTTCTGCAGGAAGCAGAAGGCTCCCCCTTTAAAAAGACCCCAACTCATGACCCGGGGCAGACATTTTCCCTGCCCAGAAAGGAATCTATCCCATCTATCCCATGTGTTCCTTTGCTAATAAACTCTATTCCAATGGAGTTTTATCCATGTCCTGGTGCTCCCCCCCCCAACTCTATCCATTTGTTCTCAGGCTACTTTTTACCTATCAACCTCTAGATTGAACCTGTGTG